GCATGGATTCCACTGCTGTGACTGCCGGGTGTGGGTTACAGATTTGACTGTGAAATCGCGACTGCAAAGCAAAGGAGAAAATAGTGTCATTTACCTGATTCACGGTATTTTTAAGATTTATTTCAAAGTTTCTCCAAAGAAGCATGACTTTTTCTAGTGCTGAGATATGAAGGCTGTTTCTCCCTCGATTCCTCATAAACAGGAGACTGGATCAGCCCGGGTTAGGTTCCATTGTGAGCAACCAAAACCCAAAATGACTGTGGCTGAGTAAGCAGAATGTTCGTGGAGGTGGTGTCGGCAGCCAAGGCAGAATGGCTCTGGCTGGGTGTCGGGCCCAGATCCTTGTATATTGTTTCTCCACTTCATGGTCCAGGATGGCTGTCCACCCTCTGACTGAAATGCCCCCACTCCACCCCCAGGAACTGGGCAGGAGCAATGACAGACACACCTCCACCCTTTAGGATACATCCCGGAAGCTGCAGGGAGACCTGTGATTACGTCCCAGTCGACCGGAACCAAATCACATGGCCACACCTCGTTGCAGGAGAGGCTGAAGTGGAGTCTTTATTCCAGGCCTATGGAAAGTGGGCTTCCTGTCACTAAAGTCCATGGGCGGTATATCTGTTTGCTAGGGCTGCTTTAAGAAACTAACTCAGACTGGGTGGCTTAAGCGACAGAAATGTATTTCCTCATAGTTCTGGAGGCTGGGAGTCCAAGATCAAGGTGCTGTCGGGGTTGTTATCCTCTGAGGCCTCGCTCCTTGACTTACAGATGGCCGTCATGCTGTGTCCTCACATGGCCTTTCCTCTCCGCGTGCAAATCCTTGAAGTGTCTCTGTGTGTCCTAATCTCCTCTGCTTACAAGGCACCAGTCCTATTGCCTTAGGACACACCCTAATGGCTTCATCTTAACATCCTCATCTCTTTAAAGGGGCCCTACCTCCAAAGACAGTCCATTCTGAGGTGCTGGGGAGTAGGGCTGCAACATAGGCATTGGGGGGAAACACAATTCAGTCCATTACAGGCAGAATGAATATTAGAGAACAAGCCCCCACCCCCTTCTGCCAGCACCCCTGGAACTGGCTAAATATGTTTTCTGGAGCTATTTGTTCTGTCTCCCCTTTTAAATTCAAGTCTCCTCGAAACTAAGAGCCCCAGGACATAGCACACTGCTCTGCACCTAAAGGCAGTCCATGAATACCTGCCGTGGTGGTGGCTACAGCTGGAACCACAGCTGGAGCAGAGACTGGCGGCCAGGATTCAGACTCTACTATCTCCTCCCGCCATGCTGCTCGGATTCCTTCAGGGTCCGGCGGCCAGCAGACCGCCATGTGGGAACTTAGAGCCGAGTGTTTTAGCCTCGGATTTTCCATGTCAAAGGTTGCAGAGCCCTAACGCAGTAATTGCTGGCCCTGGTTTGGCACAATCCTAGGGTTTCCACAGAGACCCCAGTAGGTACCAAACTATTTGAAACCTTTATATGAAAAGTCGTTTGAATGTTTTCTGGGTCACTTTGCATTGTTTTGTGTTCTATGGTCACCAAAGAAATTTTAGAAGGTAAGGATAGGTTGTTTCACCCAGCCGGTGTGGCTCAGTGGTTGAGCATCGACTATGAACCAGGAGGTCACGGTTCTACTTCCAGTCATGGAACATACCTGGGGTTCGGGCTCGATCCCCAATGAGGGACATGCAGGAGGCAGCTGATCAATGATTCTCTTTCATCATTGATGTTTCTATCTCTTCCTCTCCTTTCCTCTCTGGAATCAATAAAAACATATAGTTTTTTTTAAAGAATAGGTTGTTGCAAGGTCAAAGCCAGCATGCCCCAACTCCAGGAAAAGTTGGAAAACCAGTGCCTGAACCTCAGCAGGCTCTCCCCAGGCCTAAGACTAATGAAATGCCAGCAGCCCCAGTTTGGGCAAAGGCAAATGGGTACCAGACTTGGAACGGTTTGTTGGTGTGTGTGTGTGTGTGTGTGTGTGTGTGTGTGTGTGTGTGTGTTGTGTTTTTTTCCACTTTCTAACCATTTCACAAGCTGTTTCCCATTGAACCAGAGTGAGACTGCACTTGGAAAAAAGACAATTTCCCCTAAACTATGCTGACAGCCTTGCTCCCTAGACACCTCTGGAATCCACCCCAGGGTTTTGGGCTCTTGAACTTCTCTGTAGCAGCAGGACTGGTCCCCCACGAGGCTATGAAGTTCCCACGAAGAGCACTGTTTGTATAGCCTAAGACACAGTCTCTCCTGGTCCATTTCTGCCCTAGCAACAACCTCCCCAGGTGCAACTTTTGGAAGCTGTACAATATAGCTAATTGTTTGCATTGGACAGTAGTATGTTTAGAGCTTACGCCTCTAAACAGACAACTATTTTCTGCCATTTGCTGGTGGCACTGCCTGCCTGGTGACTTTGGCAGATGGGGAAGGAGCTAATCCGTAGGTTATGAGCAGAAGGGCTATTGATGAAATGTCACCATCTGTTGGTGTCATTAAAATGATCTGAGTCATAAAGAGTTGCTTATGTTCTTTTGTCACAAAAAGGTTAGCTTAGAGTGTAGAAGAAGTTGCTAGATTGCAGACGATCAGCTTGGTGAGTCTTCAGAGAAGTGCTGGGATCCCCTGACAATAAAACCAACCATCCCATGTGAGACCAGGGACCTATTTGGAAGGATGCAATGCCTCGACTCTCCCATGGTCCTCCCCATTTTGAGGCATCTATCAGGTGGGCAGGGAAAGTCGGTTATTTGGGTTAAACAGAAAAGATGATCATATCTGGGAGGGAACAGTTAAAATGCACCTGTCTCCTTCATCTTCACTGGCCTCATTAACAGAGATTATTCAGGTAGCCAGCTGACACCTTGAGAGACCGAGATCTCAACTGGGGATGATATGTGCTCTATCTGCTGCATCTCCCGGGAGGATATGGGGTGGGTGGCTCAGAAGGGGAACCAGGACAGCACGCCCATGCCTCCCTCATGGGTGGGAGCCCTCAGGATGAGGAGAGAAAGCAGTAAGTGGACCACATCAAATTGCATAGCAAAGAAACCAGCTTTTGGTTTGGTTGAGTGTATTGATTTTCTGGTTTCAATTTCATTGGTTTCTGCTCTAATATGTTAAAATCTTTTCCTTTGCTTACTTTGGGTTTAATTTGCTCTTTTTCATTCTGGTTGCCTAAGGTAGGAACATAGATTATTCATTTTAGATCTTTCCTTTCTCCCAACATGTTGCATAGCAAAGGAATGGAAAATGTGAGGCGTATATTTAATGAGGATCTGGACGACCAAATTAAACTGCGCCAACTTCCTAATTCTACCTTGTTACCTAATCCTCTTCATTCCAGCCTATTTGCTGTTTATAAACTATTTTACCCACTGCCAAGGACATATGCCCAATGAGAAAGAACCTGTTAAGACCTATCCTGTCTAGTATGACTTAAGATTCCTTTTTAATTATTGTTATTATTTTTAACTTTAACTCCTGGAGAGAGCGTGTGGGTGATTGGGTAAACCACTACTCCTTTTGGCACCTCTCAGATTTAAATTATAAGTAAACATAACACTCACACCCAGCCCGGCCTCTCGTTGAGCCCTTACGCCCTATCCCACCGCCTGCACCTGCCCACCGGCCAGCTCCTTCGGGAGAGGGGCGCCGGTGGAGTCAGTGCTGCTGCTGGAAATAGTGCGCGATGCTGGAAGGAAGAGCCACGGGCAGCGCTGCATGAAGCCTGTGCGGGTTATTTATATGGCCTCCAAAGGAAGCATCCTGGAAAAGTTCCTGATGATATTTTTAGATCAGATGCTTGGTCCTGCTGCCGCACTTTCATTTCTAAACAAGCAGGGATGGAAGTGATGGATGCTGTCTGCAGGGCTGTTTCGGAGGCTCGGGGGGCCCATCTGACAGGCTAATGGTCATCCCGCCAGGGCCCAGATCCGCCGTCTGTCTGTTCTGGCTCCGGGACTTCAGGAGCTGCTGACGTCAGCAGGTGATGAATAAAGCCCTGGCTGCCTGCTGCCACGTCTGAAAGTCTGACGTTCTCCCAGCTCTGGGGCCGCGTGCAGGTGACAACCCCAGGCTCCATGTCCTGCTCGACTTCCCAACCCTGTGTCCGCGGATGGATGGGACACATGTTTGCATAATCAGCCTTTGGCTAGAAGTAAAATGGTTTAGGATTTACTAGTAATGAGATGATCAAACTGGTTAAAACTCACAACCGCACAGTAATCCGTGGGCCAGTGAAGGGAGTTGAGTATTGTTACTGAATTATTGCTGTGGTTACTTTCATTTGCCCACTCAAAATCAGTGCTATTAATCTATCAATAAATAATTTTTTAACAAATTTAATAGCCCTAGCCGGTTTGGCTCAGTGGGTAGAGTGTCGGCCCAAGGACTGAAGGGTCCTGGATTCAATTCTGGTCAAGGCGCATGGTGAGGCAACCAAATTGATATGTCTCTCTCACATCAATGTTTCTCTCTGTGTGTGTCTCCCCCTTTTTTCCACTCTCTCTCAAAATCAATGAAAAATATCCTCGGGTGAGGAGGATTAACCAAAAACAAAAACAAAAACCATTTCATATTCTTCCCAAGGATTTCTATGATGAATCCTTTGGCTCTGTCCTCAAGGAGAAGGGAGGAGGAGGAGAAGGTGAGTGTCAGGTCTTTTGCTCTGCAGATATGATTTCTTGTGAAAAGCTCCTGGGTCACAGCTGTAGCCAGTCCAGGTGAATGACCAGTTCCATCTGAGGTGCTAAAGAGTGTTCAGGGAGGAAAGAGAACGTTCTGAAGTCCTCATGGCGGGGCATGGTATTGTCTGTTCCTCGAATTCAGACTGTGGCGGGTGGGGCTCTCTTACAAACCTAAGAAATGCATGGAGGAAGCTGCTGGCATGAGCCAAGAAAACTCCTGAAGTGGCGCGGAGCCTCCGCCCTGCTCTGTGCTCTGGCTCCTGCAGCCTGTGGACATGATCATCGGTTCAGTTTTGTGTGTTTCTCTCTCCCTCTCCACAGCAGACCGCAGAAACGGGTGACGACGAGGATGACCAGCCTCTCAGCCTGGCCTGGCCCCCCAACCCCCGCAAGCAAGTCACGTTCCTCATTGTCCTCCCCATCGTGTTTCCTCTCTGGCTTACCTTGCCTGATGTCCGCAAACCTGTGAGTAAAGCCTTTTTGAATCGATTCCTTCTTTGAAAGCACAGTATATGACAGGATGCCTCGTCTGCTTCTATTTGTCTTAAATGGAAAAGGGGGTAACATATATACTAGTACATGCGCATGCTTACAGATGCCTGAAGTTTATCTGGACTGTTTGCATTATTGGTTCCACATAAGAAACCACCCCAAAACTTAGTCGTGTGAAACCACCATCATGTGTTCCAGGAATTTGAATAGGGCACATTGGCGATGGCTTGTCTCCGCTCTGCCATGTCTCTGGCCTCAGCTGAGAAGAGTGACATGGCTGGAGGCTGGAGGCTTCTCCAACTGAGCAGAGATGATTCAAAGGCTGGATGCAGCCGGAATCGTCTATTGGGAAGCCTAGGCGTGTCCTCTCCGTGTGACTGGGGCTTCCTCAGGTGTGGTGGCCTCAAGACAGGCAGGTGTCTTCCATACAGAGCAGGCTTTGAGAGTAGGTGTTCCAGCAGCACAAAGCAGGAGCTACACGGTGTCCGATGCACTAGTCACAGAAGCCGTGTAGACTCAGTGGAGCTGCACATTCCTGGTCAAGGCAGCCATAGTTTGTCCTGATTAAAAGTGAGGAGACAGAAGGTCTACCTAAACTATATCGGGTCCTAGAGTGTATGACACTCTGGAGAGGAAGAGCGTCACAGCATTTGCACACATGTTTTAACACCACCACAGCATTGTCCCTGAACACTCACATTTAGTTGAATATTTATGTCCATGGATTACTCATTTGATTCAAAAAGTAATTTAAAGAAATGCATTCATGTAGTACAAATGTTTGCACGTCTGATCTCCTTCCTGTATTGTTATCATTACTGCCATCAATATTCTTTTCTGCAGTTAGTAATGTACTGGGTGCTGTGAACATAATACCATCTTATGATCAGCAAAGTACAACCTGAATGTAGATGAAACCAAAAGAACACCCCCTCCCAGTGTTGTTAAACTGGGTTCTAAGGCCATTGCCCCAAAGAGTGAAGGAATTACTGAAAAATAAGAAGAAAAGGCTCTACTTGTTATTACAGCCTTGTAGACACATACTCACTCCACAAAAGTGTATACCTATCATGTATCAGCTTCTGCCCTAGGTATTTTCAATAAAGCATATTGTGGAATCTCAGGAACAACTGGTATGAGAAAAATACATATCCTATATAATAAAAGGCTAATATGCAAATTGTCCCCTTGGGAGTTTGATCGCTAGCTATGATGTACTAGCGGCAGCCAGGGGAAGGAAGGCCCCGATTGGCCCTGATCGCTGGCCAGGCCTAGGGACCCTACCCATGCACGAATTTCGTGCACCAGGCCTCTAGTGTGTAAATAATTGGCATAAGTAGAAAGAAACTTAGGTACAAAGAAATTAACTAACTCATGCCTGGTCACTTCCCAGGGGAGGGAGCTGAGATTCAGTGTCAGGCCCCAGTGACCACACAGCGTGAGCTTCTCATATTTCATGATGCCAGAAGGTGGACATCTGAAAGCATTATTTCTGAAAGCATTTGGAATAGACTACTGTGGTAAAATCCAACATAATTTAGCGTAACTCTTGAGTCTTATGATGATCCACTTTCCTCACTTGAAAAAGACCAAAGAAAAACCCTGTCCCATTAGCCTGACCTATAAAAAAATACAGCCTGTTGGAGAGCCATGTCTTGTAAAGTTCAGGCCAGGAAAGGACCCCCTAGTGCCGTGGTCGGCAAACTGCGGCTCACGAGCCACAAAGAGTGTGGCTCTTCCTAAGCCTTAGGAGTACCCTAATTAAGTTAATAACAATGTACCTACCTATATAGTTTAAGTTTAAAAAATTTGTCTCTCAAAAGAAATTTCAATCGTTGTACTGTTGATATTTGGCTCTGTTGACTAATGAGTTTGCTGACCACTGGCCTAGTGTAAGGACGCCCTGTCAGACTCCCAACAGAAGTTTCCTAGTAAAGTTAAAGCAGCAAGTAGCAGAGCACCTGCTCTCTGCAAAGGCTGGCCTCCTGGAAACCCAGAGCCCAGCAGCTGGGATGTGTGCAGTTTCTTCCTGGCTCACATCACATGGCATTTCCGAGATGTGCGTGCTCACTTGCGCCCACACACTCACTTGCGTCCTCTCTGTATTTCCATTTCTCCGTTTAGCCCAATGCTTTTGCTCAGCCCCAGGGAGGAAAATAGAGTGAGAGACATGTTTTTGTAAATCCCCGCAGCAGGCCTCACTGTGGCACAGCCCAGAGGAGAGGATGATTGGCTAATAAGAGGATGTCAGCACACAACTGGGAAAAGTGCAGGGATGGGAAAAACATGTTAATAGCTGGAGGCTCTGGGTTCTCAGGGTCAGGTGGGACTCCTAGAGAAAAGGCTGGCAAGGTGCTCATCCTCTGCATCGTCTGAGCTGGAGGCTGACAAGGAAGCTGTTCGAGAAGATCCAGCTCTCAACCAGCAACTCCTGGACAACAGTCAAGACTCTGCTGTGGCAATAGTTACCTGGAGCAGCACGACTATGCTGGCTGATGCTACAATTCCCAGGGGCGCAGAGCAAAAAAATGCAGCTGTACATATCCCTCTCCTCTGCAGGACCACTGGCAGGTCACTCACTGTACAGGCAGCATGAGAGCGCTCCCCTGCAGCCTGGGCCACGTTAGCCAATGGGGCGTCTGCTCATTGCAGCCCCAAGTGCCATCCCTGGCGTGGACTAGATGTGCCCTGTCTGTTTCTGAGTATACTATGTGCTCTCCCGAGCAGAAATGAGACACACACACCCGCCCCCCACCCCCCCCACACACACACACAGAACATTTGATTGGTTTTAGAGTTCTTCAGCAAATATTTATTGAGCACCTATTACATGCCAAGTATCAGACTTGTGCCCTAAAAGAGATATGAAGACACAGAATTCACAGTTCCCACCTTTAAGGAACTCTAAACTGAGTACAGGGAGCAAAGCATGGCCACATGGAACTACAGAGCAAGACTGCACAGCTGTGTCGGTGAGAGGAGCCAGACTTGAACCCGGGTCTGCTGACGCCACGGCATTCTCATTCTACCATGGTAAACGGCGGTGGTTTTACCCAGCAACTCATGAGCAGCACAACCTTGAGAAAGTCACTTCTCATCTCTGGACCTCATGTTTTCTCTTCTGTGAAAGACAGGGTGGAAGACCTCTAGATTCCCGGGCAGCCGTGACCTTCTGTGATTCAGGAAAGCATAAAGAGATAGCCATCAGGACGGTGTTTAAAGTGACCGCACAGCCCGTTTGCCCAGGGCAGTCCTCAGTTACTGTGGGTACAGGTTTGGAAGTTGAACTACGTGGTTACCCTTTACATACAGGAAATGCCAAATGAAAGGAAGCATGCTACTTCCTCATGTACTGCCCCAGGGCCTCTTGAAAAATTACCCAGGAAGAGGAGAGAACAAGTCAAAAATTATTAATTAGTAGACATTTGCTACTCCTCAGGGCCTGGCAGCTCTGCCTCCTCAGTGTCGTTTTTTGTTTTGTTTTGTTTCCCATCACCATTTAGCCCCTCCATCCTCCTCAGTAGGTTTTGAATTGCCCATGGAGATGAACATCCAAACCTTGACAATAATTACAAAGAAAACACGACTTTTTTTTTAAAACGTATACATCCACTTTCAGAGTAAATGGCACTCCCGCTTGTTTTCATTTCCACTTCATTTATATGCAAATGATGCGACAGTGTTTGTTGTATTATATACGCTTCCAGCTCAGATAATTAGTCTGGGCTTCACTTTTATAGTTTCCTTAAATTAGTGGCTTTGTTTTGAAAGTTAAAAAAAAAAACTAAAATGTAAACCTTAATGAGGAACATGTCTCTGATGAAAATTGAAAATAATAAAGGAAATAAAGACCCAAAAGATAGATCCTTTCATGGCGTAGGATGGGTGTTCTTGTAAATCAAATGAGATATCAAAACATGACTCATCAGAGCTAGGAAGGTACCTGAGAACGCAGCAAGGTTTTTGCTATTTTTATCACACATTGATTCATTCACCAAGTAGATTTATTATGTCTACCATGTGCCCAGCACAGTTCTAGCAAGGAGTAAGTGACCACTGAACCCAGAGAGCGTAGTGATTGTCCAAGCACACCCAGCTAATAAGAGGTAAAGCCAAGACTCCAGGTCTCTACAGTCACCTGCTCCTCCCTGAGTTTCAATTTCCTAATCTCTTAAAAAAAAAAAACAATATGAGGATAATATACTCAAATAATAATGGCCATTGTTATCTGTGCACTTACTGTGTGCCTGGCACTTTGCTGGACACTTTATGTGCATGAGATCCTCAGACTGACTAGATATTGCTATTCCCCCATTTTACAGATGAAGAAATTGAGGCTTAGAGAGATTAAATAATTTGTCTCAGGACACATCACTGGTAATTGGTGAGCAAGAATTTTTTTTAATATGTTTTTATTGGTTGTTGGGTTTTTTTTTAGACAGGAAGGGAGAGGTATATAGAGATAGAAACATCCATCACAGAACATTGATGGGCTGCCTCCTGCACGCCCCTTACTAGGGATCAAGCCAGCAACCCAGGCATGTGCCTTGACTGGGAATTGAATGGTGACCTCCTGGTTCATGGGTTGACGTTCAACCACTGAGCCACACTGGCCGGACATCAGCAAGGATTTTAATGCCTATCCTATTAATCTAGAAACCATACTTTTAATCTTTAATAGGATTGTTTTTGGAGAACTTTGTTAAATATGTACGCCCCAGAATCTTCCACCGAGTAGATGCTCAGTGAGTATTTGTCGAGTTTAAATTAGTAAGGATATGGCTAATTTGTGCAATGAGCTAATGTTCAGCAACGTTTTGCAAGCCAAGAAAATATCACTCTGATGTACTAAAAGCTTCTAATGAGAACATTAGCTGTCAATTATACAAGGAAGCCATTACATTGGGAACAAAATGGCCGGCACACGGACACAATTTGCTTTTTGCTAATTAGCGTTAGGCCCATCCCAGCAGATGTCAGGATGAGCCCCCATTACTAACCATAAATTGACATGGCAGCCCTTGTCTGCAAGGGCTATTTTCTTCCCTCCATGGAGACGGTAACTAAATAACTGCCCAGGTGCTGCTGAGCCGTGATGCCTGGAATGAGGCCATAGAGTCCAAATGAGGGGAATCGTTCAGGAAAAAAATGAAAGAAGAAGGAATAACCTGGGCTGTGAGTCTGGAAATGGTAAGGTAGTTTGACAGTTGGACAGCGCTGAGCCAAACTGCTGATGCTCGAAGGGAGATGCTTCCAGAGCAGGGACAACAGGGAGGCTGGGGGCGGCAGATGGCCACGCAGCTGGGATGCTAGTCTACACTTCCCTGATGCTCTTTATACTTTCTGGCTTTCAGAGCATAGGCTAGTGTTATAATGATGGTGATGATTATGTGTCTGTGGCTGGGTATATTTTGAGTGTTACTGGCCCTGTTTTTCTTTTGGAAAGAGTCGCTATAACCTAGATGTTGGGAACACCTGCTGTATAGTCAGACAGACCTACTTTTGAATTTTATGTCTCGTTCAAGACCTGGGTACAGAGTAGGTGCCAGGTTTACCTACCCCAAGTTAATGATGAAGACCTGAAAAGTCACCCGAAAAAGTTATTTTTAACCCTTTTTTAATGATCCCCAAATATTACACTAGATCAAGGTACATTTCAGTGCTCTTTCATTATTAATGGGCTTCTTGATTAAGAATCATAAGCACCAAGTTTTGAATTAGAGAGGTTTTCACTAATACTGATTTGAACTTAGTTGCTTTAAATCCTTAGTCTGATGCCTGACTTTCTACCTTTTGACCGGGAATGTTCTATGGTTCAGGGATATTTTTTAGATGAGAAATATATTCAAATGATTTGATTCTGAGTTGTGACATTATATCAATGAGCAGACATGCAAAGTTATAAAAGTTAAAATAATAACTACATACTTAGTAAATGAGCTAAGCTGGAAAGGGAATGATCTATGAAATGAGGACCCTCCCGGGATACCCAGTACATGTGCCATCCCATCAAGTATGGAGATGGTGCTCCATTCCCCTCAACAGGATGCTCAGAATCAAGCTCACTGACTGCTGTTCAACCACATGTGTGGCCCCACCCTTCTCTTCCCTGTGTCAGAGCGGGGCCATAGGAGATGAAACCCTCATCGCACTTGGGATCCCGGAACAGTGACCGTGACCAGAGGAAAAGGATGAGGAATCAGCTAAATGCTTTGCAGGGAAAACTTGATTTCTTAGCAGTGGCAATCCTGAGGCTCAGGGAATCTGGTCTCCACGATCCAGCTGAACTCCCAGTTTTAAAGGAATTTGCTTTCTAAAGTGGGTATCTCCAATGATCCCACTTCTGGGAATATATCCTAAAAACCCCAAAACACCAACCAGAAAGAATATATGCACCCCTATGTTCATAGCAGCGTTATTTACAATAGCTAAGATTTGGAAACAGCACAGGTGCCCATTAGTAGATAAGTGGATAAAAAAGCTGTGGGCCATTTACACTATGGAATACTATGCAGCTGTAAAAAAATGAGGAAAGGAATCTCTTACCCTTTGGGACAGCATAGATGGACCTGGAAAATATTATGCTAAGTGAAATAAGCCAATCTGAGAAAGACAAATATCACATGATCTTACTTATTTGTGGAATCCAATGAACAAAATGAATTGACCAACTAAATAAGACCCAAAGCATGAAGGCATGAAACAGACTGACATACCTTGATGTGGGGTTGGAGACAGGAGAAGAGATAAACCAAAGAACTTATATACTTATATGCATAGCCCACAGACACGGGCAATAGAGTAGTGAAGACCTGGGAGGGGGGGAGGAGCTAGAACAGCGGTTCTCAACCTGTGGGTCGCGACCCCTTTGGCGGTTGAATGACCCTTTCACAGGGGTCACCTAAGACCATCCTGCATATCAGATATTTACATTATGATTCATAACAGTAGCAACATTACAGTTATGAAGTAGCAATGAACATAATTTTATGGTTGGGTCACAACATAGGAACTGTATTTAAAGGGCCAGAAGGTTGAGAACCACTGAGCTAGAAGGACAGGGATAAGGAGGAAGGGGGGAATGGGAGATATCCGTAATACTATCAACAATAAAAAATATATTTAAAGTGAATGTCTCAATCATCACTTTGAAAAATGGATTACTTTTTCCCATAACCTGTTAAACTGCTCATATCCCCAAAGGGGTCTGAATCTTTGACCAAAATATTTGAGAGATGGTAGAGGTGGGGGGCAGTATTTGAGAATAAGCTTGTGGCTACTCACTGTGGCCTGCTGTCTCCCCAGTTTCATCAAGCCCACTGGTCTGCCCGATAGCCCAGCTAACGAGTGACCCCAGAAAAGCCACAATCATTCAAAGAGAGACATGATTATTGTGAAATTTAACAGAACTGTGTGAATGACAATAAAAACATATTGAAAACTTGAAATTAGTAAAGAGAACATAAGCCTGGTTTAGAGCGATAGAGACTGTGTTCATCTTATGGATATTCAAAAGATTGCCGTGCACAAGTTTATCTTTTCCTTTTAATGGATTTCTCAGAAGCCATAGCAAAAAGTGTTCTACATGATTGCCCAAGGTCAGCCCTTCAGACAGCTGAGATAGCTTTCATCCCAGTCAACTCTGGGATTCATTTCTCTGGACAAAATTGGATGGCATTATCAAAGCAAAAAATAGATTGTTTCTCAAAGTAGAAAGCTTTGAAATAAAAAGTGTTTGGCAATAATAGGTGATAGGCTCTTAAAACATTTTGCAAAAAGGGCCTCCACAGAAAAACCACTAACAATAGGGCAAGCCTGGATTTCCCTTTGGTGGGGTCAGGTAAGAAACACTGCATTTTGAGTGTCTGATTCCAGCTGATGTTTGAAGGAAACTTTAAAAGTGCTCGCACTTACAGGATCATCGAACAGACTGTCAAACCTCAGAGGGAAGGCAGGGGAGGGTGGGTAGGGGGAGGGGGAAATAAGAGGTCAACCAAAGAACGTGTATGCATATAAGCATAACCAATGGACAGACAATGGGGGTGGGGTGAAGGCCAAGGCTGGGGGGGGCAGGGGTAAGCTGGGAGAGGACAATGGGGGGAAGGGGGACCTATGTAATACTTTCAACAATAAAGAGTTTTTTTTAAAGTGCTTGTACCGTAAGCCTGAGGTTGCACAAAGTCCAGCGGTAGAGACAGAAATGGACATAATTAAAGATGGAAAACATCCCAGGAGTGTCCACTCTGCCAACCCCAAGGAGAGTCATACAGTTGGGCATCTGTATGTTCCTGTCCCTATGAGTGGTTCAAATGTCCCTGACTGGCCATGATCAGGGATCTATAGAAACCGTGGTGATGGCTTTTTCTGTGTGGCTTTTCCTAACCACTCGTGGGACTGTAAGATGAGCCACTCTGTTTTTGAATTCTTCCTGTTTCTTGTAAAATGTAATTAATCCCATAGGTTTTGTGGTATGTGGATTATTATGATGCATGGGTTGAAGTAATAGAAACTGATTCTGATGAACTTGAGCGGGAGGAAGAAAAGGGAGCAGGAGAGGGAGGGAGGATGTGGGGTAGTTAATAGGTTGAAGGCGAGGCTGAGAAACCAGGCCTTGGGAAGGGCATCTGAGCATCCAGCAGCAGAAGACATTCTCTTCAGGAGAGTTCCATCTCAGGCACTAGCTTTGCAGTGATTTGGCTCTAATCAAGTTCACATTCCCCAGAATCTTACTGTCCCAGCTTGCCCAGGGGTGGTCAGGGCCTTTTGATTGCCAACCCTACCAAGACGGCCAGCTGCATCGGTGGATTTAGCTGTGGACTATCAGATCCACTCAGTTGATAGAACTGACGCTCTCGCCTCTCCCTGGTTCTCTTTCAGTCAGCAAGGAAGTTTTTCCCCATCACGTTCTTCGGCGCCATCACCTGGATCGCAATATTCTCTTACTTAATGGTCTGGTGGGCACACCAGGTAAGACCTTGACCGTGGCGCCATCTGCCTGGTGTTGCTAAGTTGTTAATCAGTGTGTTTGCTTTCTGAGACTGTCACAGCAGTATTGTGTCTGACGAGACAACTTAAATATTCCAGGACTAAAGGAATTTACCCCACTTAACTTTCCCGTGTCTCCTGGCCTTTCCCTGGAGCGTGAAGTCAGAAAGCTCCGGTCAGGCATGTGGAGGGAGGAAGGCAAACCGAGCTGCTTCTTGCCCTCTGCAGCCTGAAACCAAGCCAGCTCAGGCCTGGGAGGGATGTTGAGGTTCTGCCTGACTCGGTAGCCCTTACTTTCTCTTCAGGAGTTAACCGGCCTTCCTTTTTTTTTTTTTTTAATTAATCCTCACTCATTGATTTTTTATTATTATTATTTTAATTTTATTGGGGTGACATTATGAACAAATAGGTTATATGTGTGGATTACTAATTTACAAAATCTGTATATAGGACCATGTGCCCACCACCCAAAGTCAAATCCTCTCCTGTCACCTCATATTAAGACCCCCTTCTTCCCCCACTCCCCCTCCCTCTGGCAACCACCACACTCTGTTTGTGTACATAAGTTTCAGTTTTATATTCCACATATGAGTTAAACCATATACTTCTTAGCTTTCTCTGTTTGACTTATTTCACTTCGCATAATGTTCTCAAGGTCCATCCATGTTGTTGTAAATGGCGCTATTTCATTCTTTCTTACGGCCGTGTAGTACTCCATTGGGATGTTGAGGTTTTGCCTGACTCAGTAGCACTTACTTTCTCTTCGGGAGTTAACCAGCCTTCTTTTTTTGTTGATCCTCACCCATTGATTTTTAGAGAGAGTAGAAGGGAGGGGGAGAGACAAAGAGAAACATCGATGTGAGAGAGACACATTGATTGGTTGCCTCCCACTCATGCCCCGACCAGGGCCATGCCCTGGACCAGAATCAAACCCAGGACCCTTCAGTCTGTGGGCCAACACTCTGTCCACTGAGCTAAACCAGCTAGGGCCAGCCTTTCTTTTTTTCAATTACAGTTGATGTTCAGTATTATTTTGTATTAGTTTCAGGTATACAATCATATACTTCACAAAGTATTCCCCATCATATTTCTAGTAATCACCTGGCACTGTACACAGTTATTATAATATTATCTACTATATTCCCATGCTGTGTATTACATCCCATGACTATTTTGTAACTACCAATTTGTACTTCTTAATCCCTTCACCTTTTTCACCCAGGCCCCCAACACCCTCTTGCCTCTTGCAGCCATCAGTCTGTTCTTTGTACCTATGAGTCTGTTTCTGTTTTGTTTGCTCATTTATATTGTTCTTTAGATTCCACATGTAAGTGAAATCATATGATATTTGTCTTTTTCTGACTGACTTATTTCACTTAGCATAATACCCTCTAGGTCCTTCCATGTTGTCACAAATGGTAAGATTTCTTTTTAATTTTTTTATGTCCAAGTAATGTTCCATTTTATATATACACTACAGCTTTTTTATCCACTCTTCTATTGATGGGCTCTTGGGTTGCTTCCATATCTTGGCTATTGTAAATAATGCTGCAGTGAACATAGGAGTACATATATTCTTTCGAATTAGTGTTTTGGGTTCCTTTGGATATAGACCCAGAAGTGGAATCGCTGGGTCATAAGGCAGTTCCATTGGCTCTTGGGAAAAGACCAGTCATAATGCCTATCACAAGACTAAACTCTCAGTAAGTGTTTGTTTTAACACATGAATGAAAGAATGAGATGCGAAAGAAGAGAAAATAGTGGTAACCATTATTGATTGTGTACTGTGTGCCAGGCAACTCACATCTCTTTGTCCTTATAATCTTGACAATAACCCTTGACAATTTGTCCATAAGTACAAATCCTATGAGGAAGGAACTATTATTATTCACAGTTTACAGTTAAAAGAGTTAAGCTTAAAGCTCATAAGAAAATTGCCCAGGATCATATAGGTAGTAAATAGCAGACCTGAGATTCTAACCCCTGCTCTGAAACTCCAGAACTTATGCTTTTAATCTCAATTATAAATTACCTAAATTACAAACTACCCACTTTGTTTTATTATTATATTAGCCTTCACATTATTATACTTTTAAACATAAGTAAAATATAGCAATTTGAAATAAGGAAATACATTCCTTCAAGAACATATATGGAAAGATATCTCAACAAATGGTGCTGGAATAACTGGGTTTCCATATGGCAAAATAAATGAATTTAGATTAGAACCTATTTTCAAACCTATATACCTGATAAAGCACTGTATCCAGGATATACTAGTATAAAAATCCCCTAAAGCTCAATAATAAGAAGGCAAGCATACTGCATCCTAATTTTAAAATGGGTGAAAGATTTGAATAGCTATGTCACCAAAGAAGATATGCAAATGGCTAATAAACACAAGAAAAGATGCTCAACATCATTATTCCTTAGAGAACTGCAAATCGAAACCACAATGAGATACCACTTCACAGTCACTAAGATGGATGGATGTAATTAAAAAGACAGCCCAAAACAAGTGTTAGGAAGACTGTGTAGAAATTGGAACCCTTTTATATTGTTGGTAAGAATGTAAAATAGTGCAGTCACCTTAAAGAGCAGTTTGGCAGCTCCACAAAATTTTAAGTATAGAGTTACCATATGATCAGTGATTCCACTCTTGATGTATACCCAAGAGAAAAGAGAACATCTACACAAAAATGTGTACACACATATCCATAGCAGTATTATTCACAATAGCCCAAACTGTAAACAACCCAGATGTCCATCAACTGATGAACAGATAAGTAAAATGTGATCTATCTATGTGATGGAATAATATTCCACAGTAAAAAGGAATGAAGTATTGATACATGTTACAATGTGAATGAACCTCTAAATTTTATGCTAAGTGAAGAAAAGCCAGTCACCAAAGATCATGTGTTATGTGACTCCATTTATATGAAATGTAAAAAAATAGTCAAATCTATAGAGACAGAAAGTAGGTTAATGGATGCCTTGGTTTGGAGAAGGAGAAGGGAAAATGGGGAGAGACTGATAATAGGTATAGAGTTTCTTCTTGGGAATGAAAAGGAATTATGCCATGAGCAGTGGTTAGAGCAACGGCCCACACACAGAAGGGTCTCGGGTTCGATTCCTCATCAAGGGCACGTACCTGTGTTGCAGGTTCGATCCCTGGCCCTGATTGGGGCACATGCAGGAGGCAGTCGATCTCTCACATCTATGTTTCTTTCTCTCTTTCTCTTTCTCTCTCTCTTTCTGCCTCCCTCCTTCCCTCCTTTACTCCTTCCTTCCCTGCCTTCCTCTCTCCTTCTCCCTTTCCCTCTCCCCTCCCTTCCATTTTCTCTAAAAATCAATGGAAAAAATATCCTCAGGTGAGGATTTTTTTTTAAAGTAATTTAGGGAATCACTAACAAAATTTACTGAAAATATTGGCTGATATACCCAAAGTTATTCCTACAAGGTATTTTATATTATTACTATCATAGTTATCTTAATGACATTTGACTTCAGATTATTCTTCTTGGATATTTCCTCAAAATCAGCGTCCCCTGAAGAAGTTCTTTTTGCCCCTAAGTCATTATTTTCCATATTCATTGAGAGACACTTGCTACCAATTCCTGGCAAAAAAAATTACTGCAGAGGTGGGCTGCTTCTCAGCCTTCAGATTTCCAGCTAAAATGATGGCTTTTCCTAATAATCATTTTTATTCTTTCATGCACTGATAATGAAAAAGCGGGGTTTTTCACTTGCTGGAATACGTTGTTTTATAGCTACTTCTCTTTGCCATCCTAGAAAACATTATTGTACAGGCTTTCACCATTTTCTTTTCAATGCTCATCTTTACTCCACAAGCTTCTTTCCTTTTCATTCTCTTGTAGAAAAACATAAACAAAATGCCTGGAACAATAATAATTACAGAAAGTCCCAGAAATGTAAAGAGAAGCCTCGCTTTCCAATAATAGATGAGAAGTTTCTCTTTCTTTCCTCCCATAGAAATGTGTTTCTCTTTCAAAACATCCACACAGCTGATCACAATAGCAGACTCTGTTCTGAGAAGTGTAGCTCAAATTCTAATGTTTGTACTTTTGAACTCTAAAAGCTATAAAAATAGCAAGAACACCACTTAGTGCTCAACTGTTTTGGTATCCACAGTTTTACCAATAATAAATCCTATTTGATACCCTTATTTGACTACTATTTGGCCACATATGCTTTATGCATATTTCCCTTTGTATTTGTTCTTTTTACATAGTTTTTGCGTCGTGTATCTTTTTCTTAGTAGATTTCATGGGTGATGAAAACCTGTGGTTAAAATCTATACTGCATCTAGTATGAAAAGTTAATTCTAAAAGTCAACTAGGACTCTATGTCTCTGTTTAGCCAATATGACATTTTTGCAAATCCTCCTTAAACCAAGAAAGGGAACTGCATCACAGAATATTAGGAACAGCACGGGGTTTGGATTCTGAGTGCTTCTATCATTTGCTATTAAAAATCAAGGAAATACGCCCCCCAAAAGGCTCCTGGTGTTCTTTTTAGCTCTAACTTTCTCTGATGCTCCCCGAAGTGATCTGGATGCTGTCCCATCCATGCACCCATCACCTTGCCTCTGGGCAGCCAGAAGTCCCTTCAGTGAAATTCACTCAAAACGAGCTTAAGTAGAAATTCTCCTTCAGTAAAAGTGTTTCTAGAGCCACACAGATTCATCGGAGGTTTGATGAACAATGAAAATTCTTCATTATTCGTGTGATTTCCTACACTGTGGACTGACCCCACTAAACCAACTTCTGCTTCTGCTGGCTGTACATTGATAAATGGGAGAGGGAAAGGAATAATGTCTGAGTTATCATAGCTCATATTTATGGAACATTTACTTTACATCTGACGATGTGTTATTTGCTTTATAAGCATCATCACATATAATTATCACAACTCTAAGGTGGATGTTATTAACCCCATTTCACAGATGGGAAAAACTGAGCCTCAGGGAAGCTGGCTAGTTGTACTAGGAGTGATAGGCTAGGATTTGCACACAGAGTTCTTTGTATCCCAAGGCGACACTCTTAACCACACCACCACTCTAATTCCTGCATTTTTCTGTCTGCACTGGCATTCAAACTCCAAATATAAATTGATTTTGAAATAGTCACCGCTTGAGAACTCCCTCTAAGAAGTTAAATTATTAAGCATATTAAATAGATGGGAACTTATTGAGGGTGACAACCATTTAGTCAGCTTCTTTGAAAATGTTTCACTCCAAATCTAACAAAAAAGGTAAGTCATCAAGGAGAACATTTTGCTCAAATAGGGCACTTAAGTTTTTCTAGAAGAATCAGTGAAAGACATGCTAAAAAGGGGACTTATGAAATACTTTCAACAATAAAGATTTTTTTTAAAAAAGAAAAACATGCTAGTAAAATCACCTATGTATGCAGCTTGCTTTGTTTATTCAGCAGATATGCAAGCTGTGCTCTGAGTAATAGGGAGGCCATAGCAATAAGGCAACCACCCTTTGTGCATGGAGCTTCCTTTCTCATGGGAGCCAGGAATTTGTGCACCATGAGGACAGGGCAGACTAGTGCTACTCACCAGTCTCTGAAGCAGGCATGACCAGCAAAATAAAAATAACTCCCAACTATGCTTTAAAGCTAGTGAGAACTAAGCTATCACTTATAAGTCAAAAGAGGGATTTAGCAATGTGCTTATTCTAGTCCCTGAAAATCTTTAAACTTACATCCTACTTCGGTCCTTTAAGTTTTTTTCAAAACTTGTGGACATCATCAGGTAGGCTGTTGGAAACCAAGTTGAAAGCATTATCTTAAAGGTTTTCAGTTCACCAACTTCAGAAAATATATGAAGTTTTTCAAAGTCCCCAAAAGACAAACAAGTTGCTCAAGAGAATGGAGGAGCTTCCATGTGAGGCTAGACCAAGCATGTCAAACTCAAAGGCTAACATGGGCCAAATAAACAAGGTTTAAGTTTATGTGGGCTGCAAAAAAACCAAAAGCTTCAATTTTCATAGAAACATAGGTTTATTTTGATAGAGACATGCTGAATACAAAGGGCTGAGATAAATGAGTTATTGTTAACATAAAATAATAGAACATTTTAATAAAAATTAATTTTTTTCTTGAAAATTAACTACCAGACACTGAATATAACTGCACAAATTAATAAGCATAACACAAATAAACCTATTTTTCTTGTTCTCCGAAAGCAAAATATTTCCTGTTGCACACACCAAACAAGTCAGTACAAGACTAATGATGTGGCAATCGGCTGCTAAAATATTCGCTGCTAGTATTAGTGGAGAGAAATGATGCGCCTGTGTGTAAGGTGCATAAGTGAAATGAATGCAACACGATTATAGAAATCAGTCATTAGCGAATGTTGTAGTTCATTATTAATTATGTATAACAGGATATTGTAAAAATTAATTTACCAAATTTTTATTAAAACGTTTCTTACATACCGTTATATTGGCTGGTCCGCAAAAATATTCATTGTGGGCCACATGTAGGCCTCGAGTTTGACATGCTTGGGCTAGACCAGTGGTCGGCAAACCGCAGCTCGCGAGCCACATGCGGCTCTTTGTCCCCTTGAGTGTGGCTCTTCCACAAAAATACCACGTGCAGGTGCGCACGTACAGTGCGAAGTTGACTTAAAACTTTAAGTAAAGTTTATTAAGTTAATTTTAGGGAACATTGTGGAGTGAAAGAAGATATAGTGTCAAGGATTGAGAAAGGTATGTTGAGATGGTTTGGACATATAGAGAGGATGAACGAAAGGAGATAGACAAAACAAGTATACAAGACGAGTGTAGATGGGAGAGCTGGAAGGGGTCGACCTCAGCGAACATACCTCAATCAGATTGAGGACGTTTTTAGCAAAGGCCAGCTTAGGAGTACCCTAATTAAGTTAATAACAATGTACCTACCTATATAGTTTAAGTTTAAAAATTTTGGCTCTCAAAAGAAATTTCAATCGTTGTACTGTTGGTATTTGGCTCTGTTGACTAATGAGTTTGCCGACCACTGGGCTAGACCAACTATGCATGATCAAACTCCTCAGTCTGTAAAAGTCAAGACCAAAAGAAAGTATAATTGCTCCCCTGGCCTTTCAATAATGTGTGCCATTTACTAAGGGCTTTTCCACAAATTATCACTTAGTCCTCACAACTACCTTGAAGGTGGGTATGACCCTCACCACTTTATACGTAGATAAGAAAGGGAGGATCAAGCACATTGCACAATGCATTCATTTAGCAATAGGTCAAGTACTTAAATGCCAGCCTGTAGATCAGGTCCTCTGATTCCCTAAACGACAGTTTCTTCATTGCTGCCTTGCTGATTTCACTATATGTTTCACTTCACTATATGTTCTATATTATCAAAGCAAAATCAGCCAGAAAGTTTCCTCTGGAAATGGTAGTTTTAAGTGTTATGGACACTAGGATATGTTCAGGAAACGTGAGGGTGCTGGATGTAACTCTTTAACCTTCAGTGGTAAATCCAAGGACATCTGCCACAGAATTTGGTGCCATTGCCAGGCACTGACCAGTTGTTTTTTTAAACTATTTTCTGCTTCCTCTGCCCAGTCTTAGTAAACCATATAAAGACTTCCCTGTGTAGCCTTTTTTGAGATTATCTATCTAAACCTTATGTGAATATTCCCAATCTCTTGGGTCTGAGTATCATTAACAAATAAACTCTATGGCAATGATTGTAGCTCATTCCTCTTTATCATTTCAGTGCTCAGCACAGCCCAGAGGAGGAACTCATTAAAAGGGTGTTGCATTGAAATGTATGTGGTTTGAATGGTTTTGTGACTACAAACTCTCACATGTTTGTCCCTGTCATCACTTTTAGGTGGGAGAGACAATTGGCATTAGTGAGGAGATTATGGGTCTGACCATCTTGGCTGCTGGGACCTCCATCCCTGATCTTATCACCAGTGTCATAGTGGCCCGGAAGGGGCTTGGGGACATGGCTGTATCCAGCTCTGTCGGAAGCAACATTTTTGACATCACCGTAGGGTAAGTAGAGACAGTTCTATAAAGATGCACATCAGCTTCATCGCTGTCTTTGCTTCTGTGAAGACATGACCAGGATCTCTGAACCCAACACTAACCGATGTGAATAGGAAGTAAAGACTCAGAGTACCATTTGGTGTCACCAATTCCATTTTTCATTTTCAGAAAACTTAATGAGGAATAAGTTATCCCTAGACAGGCAGAAACACATACCTGCATACGGAGTGAAAGTTGTAGGAAGTATTTTAAGAGAATTTCACTTCTGTGATTGCATTGGCTACATGTTATGTGATTATTCAATAGGCAGGCATGTCTGAGATGATCTAGTAGTTTCACTATATGTTTTTTCATATTCTAATTCTAAATAAAGTCCCTATAGATCTCAGGTAAGATTTGGATTATAAAGCAGATTGGAACAAACAGAGACCCGGCAAAAATATCTCATCTCCTTCCTTGGAAAGGGCTAGCAGGTTCGCATTATCATTTGTTTATCTGTGCTAGGTGTTTTGAAAGTCAGAAGATGAGATCTGTTCTTACAATTCAGCAGACTGGAGTTCTCAATGGGAATAACCTCTGAAGTGGCTCACACTGGGGAGGGGTGCTGTTACTTCTGTCATTTCATGTAACAGTCAAAAGTAAAGTTAGTCTGATGAATAGCCTTCAGTGGCAGCCCCCTGAGAAAGTCAAACATGGGGTGTTCTCCTGTATACCCAGGAGAACTGGGCTCTTGACACTTGAATCTGGAAACTCGCTAAAATGGATCTGCTCTCTCATTGAACATTTTTGATATTGTTCTCTCTTACACCTCTCCATCACCTAATATATATGACAGTAATTTTTCATTCAGTGTCTACAATGTGCATTGTACATACATTTTTACCCAGTTAACCCACACAGAGATTCATAAGGTATTTTATCATCCTTGTTTTTCAGATAAGGAAACTGAAGGGTGCAGAGTTCATAGTAAAAGAGGTAGCTGGGATTTGAAGAGTCTGTGCTTTCAAATGTAGACTATCTGTACATAAATCCTGCTTTGAGCTTCCACTGTCTAAACCACCTTTAAGTTCCAAAGGCGCCCTCTCCTGCCATACTTCCTTTCTTGACTGGCCCCTGTCACTCAAGAGCCCTCCCTGCCTGGAAAACTCCAACTTATCCTTCCAATGTCAACTAAAATAAGGGCTTCTCTGATTCTCTTGGGCCTGAACTCTTGTCATGGTCATGTACATCAGTCTGCCTGCTAAACTGAACTCCCCAAGAGCAAGAACTCACCAAAGCCTAATACATTGCCTAATGCATAGTAGTGGCTGGACAAATGTTTGCAGGATGGATGGATGGATGGATGGATGGACGGACAGACGGACAGGCAGATACCTTGAAAGGTGTATGTTTCAAAGGAAGGTTATCCCTAATATAAATAGTATTTCTCAGTTCCGCTACCTACACTGAAGTAGTTTCCTTGGCCAATCTCTTGTAAAAAGGAAAACAAAATGTCCTATAGTATAAAAGAGAAAATCCTAAAAACTGGGGAAAATTACAAGTGTTCTAAGTCATATTTGTCAAGTTTTTTAAAAATAAATATTCTAGGAAATCGCAAAATGTTTTTTGTTCATAGTTCTTAAATTGTATATTTAGTAACAAATGAAAGTTGAAAGAAAAATCACCCCTAATCCAGTAGTAACCCAAGAACAACATTAGCTTTTGTATGTTTTCTTCCAAATATTTCGCAGTTTTCTTAGGGAATATTCAGTTTTATCTTCTTAGAGGGCTTTTCTTTTTCCATTTTAAAGGCATTTATGCCTGGCATGGGGTAGGCATCTATTAGCAAATTACTAAATCAACCATTTTTCTAAGCTTCTTCATAGCTCTCATAATTAACATTTTATGGCTCTAAAATATCCCATGCTGTTGCTTTTCAGTTTAACCATTATCCTTTAGTAAGGCCTTTCTATATTTTCTAATTTCCTGCTATTATGAACCGTTTTATGCAGAAAAAAACTCCTCTTTTAATCATTTTAAATAGGATAAATTCTTTCAAGAAATATTGATGAGTTAAAGATTGTGAGCATCTTAATGGCTATTGATGTATATTTTCCCAAAAGTCTTTCCCAAGAGTTTATACCAATTTACAATGTTTTGGTAAAAGTTCATAGTCTTGCTTTTATTTTCTTTTTACTTAAGATTATTACATATTCATGGAAAGGATTTAGACAATACATATAAAGCATAAATATAAATCACTGATAATTCATCACTACTTAACAAGTTCCCTATTATTAGAGATTTAAGGTATACCCAGTTTTTCACTACTCAAAATAACACAAATTATCATTTTTCTGGATAAAGTTATATCTGCATTTTGAATTATTCACTATGCTCCATCCCGGACAATAGAACTGATAGGTCAAAGGTATGAAAAATGTCATTTTTCCCAAAGGGTTTTTGCCTATTTGTGGTGCCATTGACCACCTCTTTACCAGAACTACTCTGAGTGTGTGTGTGTGTGTGTGAGAGAGAGAGAGAGAGAGAGAGAGAGAGAGAGAGAGAGAGAGTCTTAACAAGCTATGGAAAGTGTGTAAATAGAATTGCCCAGGGCAAGTCCCAGGAGAGGTTTTGGTATCATCAACACCAGCACTCCCCTCCCCTTTGCTGACTTCCCATTGCTGATCGCAGGTTGCCGGGGTGCCCCCTCCTGCTGAGAACTGGAATTGCCCCCATTCCCTGCAGTGGCTGAGTGGAACCCTCCCCTCCTGACATCTCCACTGAAGTAAGCACCTCCTAGACAGGTTCTTGTGAGCAAAGTGCCTATAAATGATCACCATGAGGCAGTTATCCACCACTTCAGCGTGGCCCAGGTTAACACATGTTCCTGGATGGGGGCCCGCATGTGCCAGGCTCTGGGAGTTCAAAGATACATACGTATGGCCTCTACCTTCACATGCACTCTCTCCAGCAGAGGAGACGGGTGTAATCTCACTGTCCCTTTGCTCATTGTTTCTTTCAAGCTCCGTGCTTCTCCTTTGGAGAGCGTTGTGTTTGGAGAGGGTGCTGCCTCTTCCACACAGCTGAGGCCAGGCCGAAACGGAACCTCCCTGAGCCCTAGGCTGTGCAGAGGGCTCAGCCCCTGGGTGGCAGGGTTCCGTTTCCCCGGAGTCCCACGTTTCCAGCCATGTTCCCTCCAGAGGGGCCTAGCCCACTCTCGTGGTGCACCTGGCAGCTAGCTCCTCTCCTGTCTTCAGAGTCGCCATTCTGGTTAGGAAACAAAAGATGTTTCCATATGTTAAGCCAAATGCAAAAGGAGAGAACAGTGATAAAAATCCATAATAAAGTTTTTTTAAATCACATCACGGATGTAAGATACTGTCTTCCTCAGAGCTTTCAGAAAGGTCATTTTTAGTGAAAAGGGTGTCCCATCTTTTCCAACATAAACTTCAGGCAGCTCCATGGCATTGGCCCCACCATCAGCATTCATTTTCACTAGCTTTTTAGGTTGTTAATTAAGTCATTGCCATTTCTCTCTCCATTTAGAAAGAATAACTTTTCCATCTTCACTGCTGATTTCCATATCTTTTCTCCATTCGTCTTCTCCTCCTCTCACCCGAATGCTCCAGGTCACCCCTGGAGGTCTGAGAGTGACATTTCCATCTCAACTAGGGATGATTATTTCAAAACCAATTCAGAAACCACCTGCCGCAGTCATGTCTTTGATCGGATCCAACTGGAGAACACCTTCTCTCCATGCTCCCTCATTCGGTGGGGACGTAGATAAAGGTTTTTAAAACTCGCCTGACTTCCTTTGTGACTTCCAGGCCAGCCATGCCCAAGTCATAGTGAGCCTAACAAGACACCCCTTTCCCAGTATAGATTCCACGAAGCTAAGGTAACCTCACCTGCCTCCTTCACCCTGTCTGCCTGCCCCCTGCCAACCCTGTCCTCTCGCCCGCAGGCTCCCGCTGCCCTGGCTCCTGTACACCATGATTCACAGGTTTCCGGCCGGTGGCCGTGAGCAGCAATGGCCTCTTCTGTGCCATCGTCCTGCTCTTCATCATGCTGCTCTTCGTCATCCTCTCCATCGCCCTCTGCAAGTGGCGGATGAACAAAGTGCTGGGCTTCATCATGTTCGGCCTCTACTTCGTGTTCCTCGTGCTCAGCGTCCTCCTCGAAAACCGGATTCTCATGTGCCCGATCTCCATCTAGAGGGAAAGCCATATCTTGAACCAGCAGCCCGGGTGGGCCCCCCACCCCGCTCTGGGTTCTAGACTCCCTGATGTCTGGAGAAGAGGCAGCGGGCACCCAGCCCGGGCATGTGGCGGGTCCCTCCATGTGGACGTGAGGAGGGGTGGACCCACAAGGACCTGCCGCTTCACAGGCTGCTGCCACCCTGGCCTGCTGCAATGGCTTCATGCGAGAGGCAGAGGGAACTGTCCATCCGAGGCTTCTCTGCACTCACCACTGACAGGTACTCCTCGCTGGTCGGAGGTACATTCTCGGCAATGATGCAAACAAGGACAGAGCTGCGTGTATACCTATACGATATACAGAGTATAAATAGATGCACATGAGCACACCGCCTGTTCCTGTACTATACCTCCCCTTCCACACCTATAGAGTAATACACACCTATACACAAACAAAGAAATACCATATATATAAAATTATATATATATATAAATACACATGCATCTTTTCAGGGATAGCTCTAATATATTTATAGTATCTATCTGAAGAGGGGCATCAACCTTCTGTGTGAGCTTTACCTCTTAAGGGCAAGAGGTACACCAATGGAATCATTGCTGTGACCTTCTGCCTACCTTGGACTTCCTGGAATCCTGCCGGGTAAGGGGGATGCTTCAGGGACATAGGTTTCAGGAGAGAGGGCTGGGTGGAGAGGGTCTGTCGTGGTCCTGGGTTGAGCCCTCCAAACATTTCCACAAGCCAAACAAAGAAGACTCTCTGCCTACCCCACAGGGTTACCTGGGACAGAAGGAGGTCAAACCCAGGTTTGGTGGACACTGGTTTGGGGGCAGAGGGACGGTAACCAGGGTTGTTGTTTTTGGTTTGTTTTAAATATATATACTGCCCCAGCATGTAAGTAGAAACTATGATTGCAAACCAAATTAGCACTCTTCTAGGACAGCGAGACTATATAAAATGAACCTCTGCTGTTCCCATGCATGTCCCATTGCCATCAAAGGAAGGGAGGCAAGTATAGACGCAGTTGTCATGTAGACACATTTTGATGCTAAGGGCTCTCATATAATCCAAATGCTGCCCACGGAGCCTGGATATATAATAAGAAATTCCATCCAGTAGAGGCGCTTAGTGAGACTTGCCACCGAATGGGAATGGAAAGCATAGCTCTTTAAAGCATCTTCCAGTGTGATCATAAAGGGCTTCGGTGTCTGAAGAAATCATTACTCCTTAAATAGAGCTCAGTTGACTCTGACCAATACTGCTTGGGTTGAGGCAGCGTAGAGATGTTTGGGGAGGAATTTGCACACGAGGAATGTTTCTGAGTCCTCGGTGGAGGGGTGCCAAGACCAGGATTTAGTTAAAGTTCATGCACCATCCATGTTTCTCCTGCCATCAGGACCCCACCTGGGACTCTCTCTAGCTTACAGAGTACACAGGCTATCCTCGACAGCTTCTTCACACTGGCCCCCAGCCAGCCCCGCCAAGGTGTTGATTTCCTGATGTTGCTCAGCATTCATGGGGTAGTTTCATTCCATTCATGCAGCGCCCCCAGGTTCTGTTTGACACCGTGTATGATTTCTCAGATCTATGTGAATAGAAAATAAAACCAGCAGGAAAAAAAACGGCCTACTACACTGATGGAAAATACGCAGTCTTTCATTTCCCCGAGTCACCCTTTTCCTAAAATCAGTTGAAAAAGTCCGATGAGGATGGCTCATTCTTTCATACTCATCCTACACCTAAGCTGGCACACACCCCATATGGGGGCTCTCCCACTCGTGTTCTCGTCTCCAGGCTATTGTGTCACTGACACTGCTGTGATTTAGTTGTGAGCACAGACCTCCTAGCATAGGGAGACAGGATGCAGACAGAACTCACCGCTGAGAAAAAGAGGAAGGGGACCTGGCATCCAGATCAAGCTCAGTATTCCTTCCACAAAAACCTCGGCTCACTGCACAGGGCCTGGCAGTAACAGCCAGTGCCCATCCTTGCTCCTCACCCACATGCAAAAAGCGCTTCTAACGGAGACCCCTGGGAGAACAAGCCGGCTGCCCAGGAGGCTGGCTCTCAGGTCTCCCCAGCGCTGCAGAGCCTGGCTTTCAGTTGTGTGAGGTAAACCTGCATCTCCTTCCGCAAGGGCAACATTCTGTTTTGAGGCAAGAATTTGTGCTGGTTCCTTAGAGTGAACGAGAATAAGTGAGCTTTTAGTGAAAAGCTCTGCTTGTCTTCCCTGTGCGTGACTTGAAGGGGCACTCGCAGAGTTGGTTATTGCATAAATGTGTATTATTGGCTGGTTTGTTATGTGAAAGAAGGTTTGAGTAGG